ATCTTAGCTGTGGAGGGCAGTGTCACTGGCCCTCATATGTGGGATCCGAACCGGGGCCCTCTGGCATCCCAAGCGAGTTCTTAACCATCGTGCCACTCGGCCGGCCCTAAATTTTATGTTTTGTGAATTTTATCTCAATTTTAAAAATTGCAAAAAGCATTTATTGAACTGGAGAAGAACCATACAAATATAATGTAAAAATTTGGGGTACCAAAAAAACCCCATTTATTGAGTGCCTATTGTGTACCAGGCTCTGAATATACCAAAGAACAAGGCAGACACAAATCCTGCCCTCCAGGGGTTCACATTCATCAGGTGGGGTGGGGATACAGGTGGTCTACATGTTCCCCTCTCTCTCCAGAGTCCTTACCAGGTCCTCCATCCATCTTGTTCTAGAATTAGACTGTGGTGATGGTTGTACAACTCTGTAAATATACATACAAGGTGTGATCAAACAATATGGTGAATGTTTAAATTAAAAAACATTGTCACAGCAAAACACACATTGCCAATAATCCCCTCACTTTGAACACACTCCATCATTCTTGCCACTTTCTGAAGCAGTTCTGGAAGTCCTCTTTCGTGAATGTCTTTAGTTGTGCTGTCGTAGCTGCCTTGATGTCCTGAATTGATTCAAAATGTTTACCTTTCATGGTAATTTTGACTTTGGGGAAGAGCCAGAAGTCGCATGGTGCCAGATCTGGTGATTAAGGTGGGTGAGGACACACCATAATGTTTTGTTTTCTTTTTAAAGATTTTTTAATTGGGGAATTAGGGGAGGGGAACAGTGTTGGGGAATTGGGGAAGGGGACCTGCCAATTTGTTGTTCTTCAGTCTTCGTTGTGGAGGGCGCCGGTCGCCATCTGGCTTCCCATCCACAGCTCATGGCCTCTAAGCTCAAGATGCTGTGTTCAATCTTAGTTGCGGGTGGGCGTAGCCACCATCCCATACAGGAGTTGAACCAACCAGCAGCCTTGTTGTTAAGAGTGCACACCCTATCCACTGAGCCATCTGGGTGGCAGCTCAGCTCAAGGTGCCGAGTTCAGTCTTAGTTGCGGGTGGGCGTAGTCCACCATGGAACAGGCAATCTTGTTACACCAGCTGAGCCATCCTGCCACCTGTTGACAGCTCAGCAACAGCTCAGCTTGGGCGCTGCATCACTGGCCCATGTGGGAATCAAACCAGTGGCCCTGTTGCTCAGAGTTTGCACTCTTAAGCCAACTCTTAACCAACTGAGCCACTCGGCCGGCCCCATAATGTTTTTATTTGACAGAAATTGCCATACCAGAAGTGATGTGTGACATGGAGCGTTGCCATGATGGAGGATAATTTATAGCACACTTTAAAACACACCTTCTCTCAACCGTAGCTCACACCTAACTGACTGCACTGAACAAGTTGAAACTTGTCACACACTGTTACTAAAATTTGAAGCACTGGTTCGCATATTGAAGATCCCTGCCTTTCCGTTGGGTGGCACTCAACAGCAGCACTCACTGTATTTTTTGTTTTTATCACACCTCATATATCCCCAAATCACAGAATTGTACAAGTTAAACAGGTGGATTTTATGGTATGTAAATTACATTCAATAAAGCTGTTAAAAAACACAAAAATTGTCCTTTGCTTTGAGCCTGTCTTCCCATCCTAGCCAAGAGGGGTGAGACTAAGATGACGGTCCAGTACATCTACCAGGTGGGGCTATGGTTTTAGAGGTTGGAGGGGCGACCTTGACCCAGATCCCACAGGCGAGATGCTGCATGCGTCTTGTGTCCCTGGCCACCTCGCTGGTAAATGGCGCAGCTAGCATTCACTGAGCATTCACTGTGCGCCCGGTCACACTGCATGGACAGGAACTTTGTTCCCACGACAGACACGTGGGTTGGATGCTGTGTCCCCCTTTTACAGAAAACTGGGCGTCGGATACTTTGTTCCACAGCGAGGGAAGCCGGGACTGGATCCCACGCCCACCCCTTGAGCTTCCGGGCCGGGAGCACTGTGGCGGGGAGTGAGGGCTGAGGTCGCATCCTTCCTAGCTCTGGTACAGTCGCAGCTCCTCCCGGATCGCACCCGCCCTGCTCGACGCTGCCCCTTTAAGAGGAGGCTAGGCCTCTCGGCAAGGATGGGCGGGAGGAGAGGGCAGGAAGTTACGCTAAGGCCTGGGGGCGGGGTCGTGCTCCGACCAGAAGCGGAAGTAGCTGATCTGAGGTTCCTTTAGCCCAAGGCGTGCACCTAGGTGAGGTAGCCGCGGCCCTAGGTGCTTCAGCGGGGAAACTGAGGCGGAGGTGGAACCGGACGCTGAAGGGCGAGCCCCGAGGGGCGGGGCAGGGCGGGTGTATAGGAGTTCGCTGGGCGGGAGGAATGGCCCTGGCAAGGTCCGAGAGGTGAACGCCCCGTCAGCTCTCCTTCGCCTGTAGGGATGGGCTCCAAGGCCAAGAAGCGTGTGGTACTGCCCACCCGCCCGGCGCCCCCCACGGTGGAGCAGATCCTGGAGGATGTGCGGGGGGCGTCCGCCGAGGACCCCGTCTTCATCGCGCTGGCCTCAGAAGGTAGGGTGAGCCCAGGATGGGCACGGGAGAGGCCGCCCCGAGACCCCAGCAGCAAGGAGTGGGGGAGCACACCCCAGCTCCAGCCTCGAATAGCAGATCCGGTGAAACCGTGGGATTCAGAGCATAGACTGTGGCATGATCCTCATCCTCTCTGATCCCCCTCTCCTCACGTGTAAAGTGGGGCGCGTCTTCAGAGGGGCATTTAGAACCTCCTGCCCCCAAAGATAGCCCGCCCCCCAAACCCTGCCCACTGTGTTTTCTTGTAAAGCCAGGAAGCTAAGAATGGATTTTATGTTTCTTAATTCTGAGGGCGAGACTATTTCTTCACAAGTGGAAATGGTATGAAATTCAAATTTCAGTGTCCGGAAGGTTGTTTTGGCACACAGCCACTAGTGGATATGTGGACCTGGCTGCTTTCAGGACATAGTGGCAGGTGTGAGTAGTTGGGACAGACTGACTAGACCTGCAAAGCCAAAACTATTTATTGTCTGGCCTTTTGTGGAAAAACTTGGTTAATCTGTTGTCATGCAGAAGATGGAAGCAGGTCAGTGACTTTGGCCTACAGTTGTTGAGTGAATTTTGTGTCCTGGTGGATGAGGTTCACTCATTCATTCAACAGACTTTTCTTAAGAATCTCTTATATGCCAGGTTGTGTTCTAAGCACTGGGGTGAAGAGGTGAACAAAAGAGATGACAGTGCCGCCCTTGGGCCATTCTAGGGGACCTGAGACAGTAAACATGAGTCTTATGGGTAACCAGGAGGTGAGAAATGCTATGGGAAACATTTTTTCCCCCCAGTGGTGTCTCACTCTGTTCCGCCATCTTGAATGAATCCTTTAATTGGGAAACATTTTTAAAATTAAGTAATAGTAGAAAATTCAGTTGTCTGCTCCATGTAGCCACATTTCAAGTGCTCAAGAGGCACTTGTGGCTGCTGTATTGGACAGTTCAGATGAAGGAGTTTTCCATTGCTGGAATGTTCTGTTGGACGGCAGCCCTAGGAACATAAGATGCAGTTATCCATGGCCTGGGTTATCTGAGGCTTCTTGATCCCCAGCTTAAGAATCATGGGTGAAACCGCCAGCATTCAGAGGGAGGGGAAACTTAGGCATGGGCAGTACTGGGACCCACTCAAGGAAGAGGGCCTACTCCTGCTGGCCAATGTGGTTGTCTAGGACCACACCTGGCCTCCGTGTGTGTCATCTGGCGTTACCTACCTCACTACTAAAGCAGGTGGGGAAAAGTGCCTGTTAGTGAAATAGCAGAGTTTCCAGGCCTGTGCCAGAAGCTCGGCCTGCTGGGGTATGACTGCAGACAGCTGCCGAGTGGAGAAATCCACATTTATCCCTGTTCATGCACAGGACCAGGCAGAGTGGAGAGGACCTGGACATGCCTTCAGAGTGGCCCTGCGGCTGTGCTTTTTCCGCCTTGCTAACCCCATCCCACCTCCCTTTGCTAGTCACACCGTTTTAGGGCGTGGCGTCATCAGGAGACGGGTGTCCACACCCTTCTGCTTTTGCAGCCTCCTGACTATGAGTGCTGGATTTTGGAAGGTTACAAGGACAGGTTTTTGGTGGACGGGAGATTGCATCTTGGGCTTTGATTGCAGGGACCATTATGGGGTCAGCATCCTTTACAGGAACGGGTGTCTGCCCCCAGGCAGGGCCTCTTCTGTGACCTGTCTGTCTCCTTCAGTCTCATGCTTTGCTAGGGGGATAAACTGAGTCTTCTGCCCCCTCCCTAACCAGCAACCTGTGTCTTGTCCCCAGACTCTCCAGGACCCTCCGGGATGGCTGAGAACCCTGAGGACCAGCGGGAGCAGCTCTACCAGCAGAGCCGGGCCTACGTCGCTGCCAACCAGCGGCTGCAGCAGGCGAGCAATGAGCTAAGACAGAGGTGTGAGGACCTGCAGCGAGCCGGCCAGGAGCTAGAGCGGGACATTGGCCAGTTGAAGCAGGTGGTTTTGCCGGGGGCTGCAGCTGCCTTCTTGGGTTGACCTGGTCCTGAAACTCGCCTGAGCACATCGCCCCCCCTGGGCAGGGCCCCCCCGGGCAGAGCATGCATGGCCCACTGGAACATTTTACCCTCCCCATAATACCTAGCCTGGCACACCTCAGACATGAGCCTCTGTCCCAGAAGCATATTCCAGGCTCTCTGTTCCATGGACTAGGGACCCCAGGAGACAGAGCCTGATGGTGTGTGGCTTCAGCAGGGACAGTGCTGCCTCAGCTGCCTGCCTGAGGGTTGGGTCAGGCCTTGTGGATGTTGCTCACCCCTAGGCTGCTCTCCTATGACCCGATTGCCGTCAGAATGGCCTTGGTGTGAGGCCCCAGCACCCTTCCTACCCTCCCTTCCTCTGGCGACTCTGCTTCACTGACCCATTAGACTGAATCTGTCTCTGTCTGAACTACAGCGCCCCAGAGGTTACAGAAGAGGATAGAGGTTCTTTGCCCTTCTTTCCCCCGGTAACCCTGGCCATGTGAGGAGCAATTGCCCAGCAGGGCCCAGATCTGAAATGGGGCCTCCAGTGGCCCCCAAGCACCCCAATCTAAGGTGTGGGCGCTCCCCCAGGGCAGCACTTGTCTGTCTGGTTCACTGTCAGGGTGCAGGACCAACCTGTTGGCTGTGGGATCTATCAGATGAGGGTGCTAGCCTGGGCTTCCATGGTAAGACAAGCTGGTCAGTCACCCATCCTGAGCCTTTATCCGGCTGTTTCCATCCTGGCAGACTAGGCCCATCGTAGATGTACCCACTGAGTCCCTGCTGAAATCTCTGCTGCCACTGGCCACCTGGATTGTGCCTCTGTGAGCCACTCCTTTGCAGGAGTCCCCAGGAACTCAGAGAAGCACTAGAACCCACAGGCAGGGCCCTGACATGGATGACCCCAGCATCCCAGGAAGGGTTTCTCTTTCCCCTGAAGAAGGGGTACCTGCTTAAGCCTGACAGACCCCTGAAACCTTTAGGGGCACAGGCATTCGGCAGTCAGGACAGTGGACAGCAAGGCTCCCTGTCCAAGGACCCTTGGCCTACCTGCTTATGTCTCAAAGGTGCCCTGCTGTGCATCCTCCAGAGGTCCGTGCTCTACCCCCCCCCCCCCCCCGCCCCAGGATCAGGTGGAGACACTCTCGCTACCTTCCCCTGCACACTCGCTCATCCTGAGTGCTTTCCCTGCACAAATCCTGCAGCCTGGCTTTGCCTCCCAGGGCAGGCAACCTGGGTGGAAAACCCTCAAAAAGTCTTCCCTTCCTGAGTCCTCACCCATTTGGAAACAGAACTGCATGGAGTGTGATTCAACAGCTCCATTTATTAAAGGTGCACATAAGACGCCTGGTTCCGCGCCTTCCTTCTGCCAGACGATGGCTTTAAGTTGAGTCGGGTAAGATAGGGCTGTATGTATTTACACATGTCCTGTAACTGCAGGGACCCAGGGTGGAGATGCAGGAGGATGGAGGGGGATGGACCAGGACAACCAGGCTTGGGCTGGGTGACAGACGGGGGCGGAGGGGGTGAGGTAATGCTGCACTGGTGGGTGTGTTGCCCCAAATTCAGCACCCAGCTGGTGGTGGGGTCCCGAGGTCACAGGCAAGGGTTGCTCCCAAGGTAGATGGGGGTCTCCTCAGTGTGGCCAGGTGGCTGAGCAACCCCAAGAGGATAAAGGCTTCATGGGAGACATCCTTTGGGTCCTGAGACTTTCCTCCTCCAGCTGCGGTCTGGAACCAATTGTCCAGAAAACCACTGCTCTTCAGGGCCCAGGGCCCCCAGCATCCTGTCCAGCCAGGTTATAAGGTGTGGCTATGCCCCCACCACAGGAGGACAGAGAAGGCAAAAGTGGCCACCGGACATGGATGGGGCACAAGCTCCGTGTGCTGGCTGAGGTGGGAACTGTCTCTTTCTGAGGCTGGCCCGGACAAGGGGCAGGCAGAGAGGGTCACTTCATCCCCCAGTCACGGCAGACACTGTGTTTGTTGGAGAGGTAGCTCTGGGGGTTCTCCCCATGGCCCACATGGGAAAACTGAGGCACAGGGCATTGAGAGCACTGCCCAGGGTCTCACAGTGCATGGGTGTGCCCATCCCAGGTCCCACCAGCCCAGATCCCCTATGGCTGGGTGAGCTGAGGGTGGGTCTGTGCCGCTTCCTCTTCCAGGCCATTTTGGGGAGCAGCTGGCTGGGGGCGAGTGTGAGAGTGGACGTCTGATAGCCCCTGCATCCAAAAAGTTGAGCGGACCACCCAATCCTGTCCTTTCAAGCTACAAATGAGGGCAGGGACCCATGGTCTCTGAGACATATCTGAGACACCCCCCCCTCGTATATTCCAAGGGATCAGCTATGAGCCTGTGCAACGCCCTGCCCAGCCGTCATCACCACTGTCCGCTGCGTGCCAGCTTGTCATGGGAAAATTGGTCACAGGAGGAGCATTCAGTGCACCCAGCCATTCCTGTGTTCTGCCTGTGGCGCCTGTGCTGCAGGACGGGGCATTCTGGGGTTTGTATAATACGTGACACGTGTTTGCAGTGGCACCACGGTGTCTGTGGATGCTAGGGTCAGCATGGCTCACAGGGTCCCTGGAGTTGAGGATGGTCCCGCCGTAGGAAACACTTCTGCTCCTGGGTCAGCTCCTTCCATGGGTGGGGATGGGACTCCTTCTGTACTTCCACCTGACTTTCAACCCCACTTCCCCTCCTCCCAGAGAAGGGACTTAGTCATGGAGTTGTCAGTCTCCCCAAACAGTGTCTGCTCCCTGGCCCTTTGGAGCAGCTCTCTGCAGGGCATCTGTGACAGCAGCTCCTTCCCAGAACAGGAAAGAGGTCATTGGCTCTTTCTACAGGAAGGCACAAACCCTGAGGTCCCTGAGCAGGTACCCCAGCAGCCTCCCACACACACACTGGCAGGAGTGAGGGGAGGACGCAAGGCCTCCCAGGCTCCCTGTGCTCTTCTGTCTTTCCACCTCCTCTGGCACCAACACTCTAGCAGCCTGGCAGCCCAGGCCTGTGCTGGCCAGGCCATAGTCCTGGGGCACGAGGCCTTGTACCTCCTCCAGAGACCAGAAGCCAGCTTCACCTCAGTCCCTGCATTTGTGCCGTCTGGTACATCCAGGGCTTTGTTGTCGCTAAAGTGAACCGATGTCACTGTGATTCTCATCCTCCTTCCTACAGCATCTGGCCCACCACAGCTGGTCCTGACTCCACCCACCTCCCTGGTCCCCCCTTTCCCTTCCTCCTCTGCTGGAAACCAGCACCCCCTCAGCCAGGAGTGGGGACATGGGATGGCCCCGCATCACCCAGGCCAGCCTGCCTTCACTCTTCTCTGCTCCTTCTAGGCAGTTCTGACAACAACCCCTCTGTCTACTAGCCCCAGGTCTCAGAGCTCCAGGCTCCCTGAATGTTGCTGTCAGGTGAGGAGGGAGTGCTGTCTCTGCAGGGCGCAGCCACACTTCTCCGCTGGGGCTGAAAATACAAATAAACCCGCAGACTCCTCATTAACAAATTACCCAGCGGCTGCCATAATTACAGGCTTTGTCCCAGGTCTTGGATGCTACCCTGGGCCCAGCTGGCGGGCACTAGATGGCGCCACGCTCAGCAGCCTGTCCCCCACCTTGGGAAGGCGCTGTTACCTCCCCTGGCTCCCTCTCCTGCTGATGCCTGGGCCCAACGGGGCTGGGGTCTGGGAGGGTGGTCTCTGTATATGGGCCAGGCATGGGCTTGAAGTCCAGAGCGAGGCCCATTTCCTCCCTGAGGCCCCGCGGCACAGAAGCAAGCGTGAGATGTGAGGCCACTCAGGCTGGGATGGGGCACTGAGGGAGGGGACCCAGGTAGGCAGGTGGGTCCCAGACCACCCTGGGGCAGCCTGATGGCCCTCCACCAGAGATAGTGTCCTGGAAGACTGGTCCAGGCCACTATTCCAGAAGGTCAGCAGGGGCAGGGATTTTCTGCACAGCCGAGTCAGTGGTGGCTGCTACCATGGGGCTGGGCACATAGTTGAAGGGTGGGACTCGGGCAGAACGGCTGGGGGAACCGTGCCGACTGGAAGGGAAACCCCCAACAGCCAACCCCATGCCCTCATGGATGAAGGGGATGGAAGCAGGTGCCTTGGCAGGGCCTGGCCCATCCACGTCGCTGCCAAAGAGGGATGCTGGGCCGCTGGCTGGGGCCTGGAGGGGACCCCTAATCTCTAGGCTTGGGGATGTGCTGGAGTTGGTCTTGGTGGCAGCAAAGTCCTCTGTCTGGACCACGGCATCACTGGTCTTGCGCTGTGGGGAGCCACCTTGGCCCTCCTCGGGCGAGGTGCCCACAAGCGGCAGGGCAGTGGCGGGCAATGTGCTCCGCAGGATGTGCGGCACATCCTCGTCCCGGATGCGACGCCACGTGGTGCCTGGTGCAGCCACCCTCAGCAGGGGCCGGGCCTCCCCATCACTGCTGCGGCGGGCAGCATCAGCCACATGCCCTGGGGTGGCACCTTCAGGCTTGCGGGCCACACTGATATGGGGCAGAGAGGCGTAGCGTTTGACCGTCTCTGGCCGGGCAGCCTGCATGCGAATGGGCAGGTGGGATGGGCTCTCAGAGCTGGTGCGCCGGGGCAGCTGCTGGCTGGGGCCGGGCTGGGCCGTGGGGGGCTGCTGGGGGGACAGAAATGGCTGGGATGGGCATGGCCAGGGTGCCGCACGCAATTCGTCGCAGCGGGAGGAACAGAGGAAGACAGTGGGCAGGGCAGACCGGCTGCGGCGGGGTGAGCTACCCTGAGAGGCAGAGGCAGCTTGGACCATGGACAGTTCTGACCGGCGTGTGCGCAGCAAGCCGGGCGACTCCTTGATGAAGGTCAGCTGGCGCTGGAAGCCTGAGCGCTCGGAGGACTCGCTGCCACTGGAACGGGCCGAAGCTGTGCGAACCAGGCCCAGGCGGTCACTCCGGGTGCCCAGGCCCCCCTCGGCCCCTGCCCGGACTCTGGTGCCAGGCTGTGGGGCTGCCCTGGCCAAGGGTGGCGGCACCCGCCTGGCCGACTTCTGCATGAAGGGGATCCGCACAGGTGACTTCTGTGTCTTGTGCTGCTTGGCCAGCAGGGCCTGCGCAGGTGTCTTGGGCACCGATGAGGCCCCAGGGCCAGGTAGGGGCCTCGCAGCCTGGGCTGCCAGGGGCGACCTCCTGGGCAGGTTCTGGGAGGTAGGGGAGGTCTGGGAGGAGCTCGACGAGGGTGTCTTGGTGAGGCGAGCGGGTGGTGTGGCACTCCTCTTGGGGGGGCTCAGGGTTGCCAGCTCTGAGATCTTGCCGGGCCGGTGCAGGCTCTGAGACCGCTGCTGTCCGGGGCTGGGGGCTCCAATGGGGGCCGCTGGCTTCTCGGAGCTTGGGAGTCCCATCTTCCTGGGTGTGGTTTGGGGACTGGGACCACCCCTGGGCTGGGCCTGCATGGCTGGGCTTGGCATGTAGATTACTGTTCTTCCTCGGAGCACAGGTGGCACCCTGGACGCGGTCTTCTGAACACCACGCGGCTTCCCAGGGCTGCAGGGCAAGCGGGGACCGCTGCTACACTGGGCCAGGTTCATGTCCCGTTTCTCTAGCCGCATGGCACTGCCTGTCTGGCCCTCCAACCGTGGCTGCTGCCCCTTCCTCTGCAGGGAGGGCTTCAGGGTGGAGCCCACTGATGGCCCGGACACAAATGACAGGATGGAGTCAGACTCTGCTGAGGCCTCACAGGTGGCTGCTGCGGCTGCCGCAGCCGCCTGGTGAAGCCAAGTGACGATGGAGTTGGCACCTTCCTGAATGGCACGCCACTCGACGCTGTCCAGGTCAGAGGCATGGTCCGACCCCACTGCCTCCTCGCCAGGCTCCCGGGGCCCCTCTGCTGGCCACTCACCTGGCCGGCCAGCTTGGGGCTTGCGGCGCCGTGGGCCTGATGCCTGGAGCCGGTGCCCGGGTGTGGCTAAGCCCAGGGAGTGTCGCAGAAGGTCCGTCTGGGCCCGCGTGCTGGGTGAGCCATCATGCCCGCCTCTGGGGCCTGGGTCCTTGGTGACCACGGGCTCAGGCTCACTGAGTGAGCTGGCAGAGGAGCTCAGGGAATAGCATGGCGGCATCTCATCAGCAATGAGGCTGGGCTGGGCCCGGGCAGGTGGCGTGGGCTTTGGTGTGACCTGTGCCTCCTTCCTGCCAACCAGGCGCTCCTTTTTAATTGCCTGGGGGATAGCAGACGCTCGCCGGGAGGGCATCACCACTGCAGCCTCAGCTGGCTCCTCATCTAAGTCACTGCCATAGAAGCAGTACACGGCCTCCTTGGTGGGCGTTGTAAGGCACAGGGACTGCAGCACCCCATCCCCACACATCCGGTGCATCTGGCCCATGGGGGAACCATCCCTGTTCACTCCAGTAATCGGGGACTTGCAGAGGGGCAGCTCCATCCCTGCCCGGTTCCTGGCTGACCCCCAGGCTAGCTCTGTGCTCTGGCCCACACCCCCAGCCCTGTGCCTGTGCCCAGTGGCCTGCCTGGCAGGGGCCACATGGCCTGCAGGCTTCTGCCCATCTGCATGCCCACTAGGTGGGCCCCTTTGAGGTCCCTGCAGCGTCTCGTCACTGAGCGAGGCTGTACTAGAGAAGATGACTGGTGTGCCCTCGGCCGAGTCAGTGCACGAGTCATCCTCCCGGGCCGGGGTGGGCACCAGCATGTAGACAGGTACAGGCAGCGTGCAGCGGCCAGGCACCAGCGCTGAGGCCAACTTGCGGAGCTGGGTGGGCACAGCTGCGCCCAGGCACTCCCGCAGCAGCTCCAGTTCCTGGTTGGTGGCAGGTGGCCCCTCCCGGCGGCCAGTGGCCTCATCTCGCCGGCGGTGCCCAGCAAAGTGCAGGCTGTGGCCGCTGCCACCGCTGAGCTCTGAGCAGGCGGGAGGCAGCAGCCGCAGCTCCACATCCTTCTGCACGTAATGCTCATGCAGGGCCAGTGCGCTGAGACTGGAGGCACAGGAGAAGTTCTCGTCTGGCTTCTCCACCGTGAAGCGCACACTGCCGGCATCCAGCTCGGAAGGCAGCCGGCAGCGCTCCCGGCAGTCGGCGATGTCCAGGAAGCGCTTCACATAGCTCTCCCACTGCAGGCTGAACTGGGTGGTGTCACGCTCGCCAGGCGGTGCAGAGACCAGTGGTGGAGTCTTACTGCGGCTTGGCGGCATGGTCTGCCCGGGGCTGTCGGGCAGCTCACTGGGGCTGACCGTGCCACTGCCCAGGCCACTACATGGGTCACTGGGGATGGAACTGGCAATGGACGGGCTCTCAAAGCTGCCCAGTGAGCTCACAGAACTACAGCGGCTCAGTACCAGGGGTGTCTCCTGTACACAGTTCTCTGAGGAGCTAGATGGCGTGGCGTCCCCCACCCCCAAACCCCGGCCCTGCAGGGGCGCTGGAATGGCCATGGGTAGGGAGGTGGCCCCTGGCCCATGCCAGGCCCCATCCAGCTCCACATCGCTGGTGCCTGCCTCCTCCAGTCCCTCCAGGGATGAGTCACTGTCGTCCAGGTCCTCCACCTCGCTGGGGCCGGGGTGTCCAGCCGAGGACAGCGAGGACAGGGAGCTGCAGCGGGACAAGCAGGGTGGTGCTGCCTCTGCCACCAGCTTCTCCGGCACTTTACTCAGGTCCTCTGCAGGCAGCCAGGCCTGCTTCCGAGTCCCAAAGGCCAGGGGCCCCCTGCCTGCCCTGGCCGTGCCCTCAAGCAGTGACACGTGCTGGTAGGTGGGCGACAGCTTGATGGTGCGCACTCGGGTGTCAGTGGCCATGACCTGCCGGGCTGCTGGCTCAGCCTGGCCACCCAGCAGGTTGAGGTCAAGCTGGCTGGGCCGTGCCTGGCCACATGGGGACCCCTCGTGGTGCTCAACCAGAGCAGCCAGTGGGCATGGCTGCGTGTGCTCACGGGGACAGTGCCCGTCACTGGCACTGCCACTGTTGAGGCTATCATTGGAGAGGCTGGCATGGGCTGCCTTGAGCCGCAGCAGTGGGTGACTGCGGCCACCAGCCTCCCTCGGCCCACCCTCGGGCCCCGGGCAAGGTGAGCAGGACTGGGCGTGGCCCTCCCTTGGTGCTTCCTGCCCGGGGTCCCCAGAACTGAGGCTGAAACTGTCATCAGACAAGGTGTGCAGGGCTGCAATGTCCTCCACCAGCCGGTCGATCCGTGCCACTGCCAGTGCCAGCTTGGCCTTGGCTCTGGCTGCCACGGCTGCCTCTCCACCGGCCTCCTTTTCTGCCTCCGGGCCACCTAGGCCAGTGGGTGCGGCATGGGCCAGCGCCTGCCCCTGCAGGAAGGGGCTGCCCAGGAAGAGGGACAGCACAGCAGGGCTGGCAGGCTCGATGGTGGCAGCCACGGCAGCCAGGGAGGGCGCGTCGTCATCATCGAAGCAGCCGGAGTCCGAGGCGTAGTCTTGGGCCAGCCCATCTAGGTGCCGCAGTGGTGGCAGTGGCTTCTTGGAGGTGGCCTCGGCTTCTGCCTCAGGCAGGCCCTGCTTCTCTAGTTGGTCGAGTGCCTGGGCTAGATGCCGGGCATCCAGCTCGGCCTCCAGCGCCCGCTGCTTGCGCACATACAGGCTGGGCGCGCAGGCACCAGGAGAGACGGTGGTGGCTGTTGCCTGGTACTTGGCAGGCCGGTGGGCCAGCAGGTTGCGCAGGGCAGCAGCACTGCCCATGGCGATCATCTTGTGCTTGGAGTGCACCAGGTTGCGCAGCATGGCCACGGCACCCAGGTCCCACAGCAGCTCCTGGTCCCGTGGGCTGCGGGCAGACAGGTTCCAGAGCGTGCCGCAGGCATTGCTCACGATGGTCAGGCTGTGCGACGTCAGGTGCTGTAGCAGCGTTTGCAGGCAGTTGTGGTCCCGCAGCACCTGCCTGCGGCACGGAGGGGTGTGTCAGGTGGCACCACCCCTCGTCCCACTGGGAGCAGGGTAGGGTGCAACAGAGTGGCCGGATTTAGCAAATAAAACTATAAGGTGCCCAGGTGAGTTCGAATCTCAGAGAAAGGAAGAAATATGTAGTATAAGTGTATCCCAAAAATCAAATGGGGTATACTTTTGCTAATTTTTTATTTGTTAAAATAAACAAGATGTTTATAAAATAATACTAATATTAAATTAATAATACTTTAAAAATAAAGTTTAGTATATTATTTTAGCACAACAATATCACGATATTTGGGACACATTACTAGAGATAAATTTTGTTTTACAAAACACTAAGTATTATTTGTTAATTATTAGCACTATTTAATAAATAATTTTTTTATTTATTTTAATAAAACCATTAGCACAAGTATGTCCCATGCAATATTTGGGATAGACTTATACTAAAAATAAATGTTATGTATTTTACTACATTAGAAACATTACTACTAACGTTACCTAGTAAATAGGAAATATTTATTTTAATAAATGTTATTTATTAATATTACTTAGTAAATATATTAATAAAGAACAAGTTTTCATCATTAATATTGTTTAGGAAATAATTTATTAAAATAAAAATATGTATTAATTTAAAATTTAGATATATTTAGCATGTCCCATGCAATATTCAGGATAGACTTATACTAAAAAAAATCAGTCCCTGGGGACAAATCAGGCACATCCATTCACAGAACAATTCAAGGCTGCCTCAGTGACAGTTCACAGCAGAATCAGATCTGCCACCCCCAGCCCGCACCTGGGAGACCTCCTGCCCCCAGCGTCCTGTGCCCACTGTGACTGTGGGGTGAGAGGAGCTGACCTGTAGTCCTCGCGGGTGGCAATGAGGCTGGACACATTGCGCAGAATGCCACCGCCGCTCTCGATGATGGCCAACGAGTTGCTCTGGCACTTGTAGGTCAGCGTGCTCACCAGGAAGCCCAGGGCACCATCCACCTGGCAGATGGCCGCCTTGTTCTCCGTGCTGTGTGCTGAGAGGTTCCACAGGGCACTGAGCACACTCTTCAGGGTGGACTCCTGGGCACAGGGGCGGGAGGGGGAGAGATCAGCGGAGGGGGTGCCCCAACTACCAGACCCACCCACTTGGCCCTCACCATCGAGACATGTCAACGTCAAAAGTCTAGAAGGAAAAGCACCCAAATACATTTTCAAATAAAAGTGAAAAGCAATAGGAGTAAAATCGGCCCTCACAGGATCTCCAAATTGCAGAGTGGGAAGCCCTAGACCTGTCTGAGTCTTGACAACCTGCTAAGCTAAGCAGTGGGTTGTTTCCCCAAAGTCAGAGAACTCACCACCTGTTGCCAGTGTCTCCCTGCCCTGCGGCTGGCATTTAACAGCCGTGGCAGTGCCCTCCTCCTGGGGTGCATTACCACTCCCTCACCCTATGCACCCACCTTATGCTCACCTTGGAGGCTCGCAGGACGCACTGCATCAGGGCAGTCATGCTGCCAACCTCCCTCAGCACCTTCTTGCTGTTGATGTCAGCCCGCCAGGACAGGTTGCGCAGGATACTGGATACCACCTGGGGCAGGGTGCAGAGCGGGCAAGGTGGACCCAGGGTTCCTCCCTGATCTCAACCTCACATATTGTGAAGCTATAGAGATTGAAGAGGACACCCATCACACCCACGAGGGAGAGGACTCTATCAGCAGGGGCCTTAGGCAGTGGGACGCTCTGCAAGCCTCTACCCAAGCCCCGCCCCACCCCACCAGTCTACCTGGTGTAGCTCCTCGCTCTCGGAAGCCAGCTGGGCCACAATGGCCTCCATGCAGCCCCGCCGGGCACACAGTGTGGCCTGTGGGTGACACAGGAAAGTCACGCCATGGCGGGTGGGGCAGGAGGCATGAGGAAGACCACACCCCACCTTCTGGCTCCCCCCCAGCACCTACTATGTGCTAGAGCTGGAGGCCCCAGTTCCCCATCCTCACCACCATGGTGAAGGGGGAGCAGTCACCCTGTTCCTTAGTTGAGGAAACTGAGGCTGAGATAGAAGCTGAGGCTGCAGACACCCAGCCTCCTCTAGCCCAGAGGCCCATTCTCTGCAGCAGAGCAGTCAAGAGGATGGTGGCCTGGCTGACTGCATCCAGTCACAGCCCCTCCTCTCACGGCCCTCTCTGGGCCTCAGTCTAACAGCCTATAAATTGGGGACAACTGTCCCCAACCCTCAGGACTGTTTCAAGGAGGGGATAACGTGGAGGGAGGCTCAGACCTGGGGGAGCACTGACCCCACCCTCCCTGGGCACCTTGTTGGCGACATCCCCAAAGGTAAGATTGGTGAGAGTCATGCCAGCATATCTGCGCAGGGCAAGGTTGAGTGGGTCCTGGGTCATCTTGTGCATCTCATAGTCAACCTGCAGTAACTCTGCCACGGCCTGCAGCCCACCTGTGGGGACATAGAGGGAGTCATGGTGAGGCTGGGGGCAGGCAAGTCACCCTGAACAACCACCCTGCCTTCCTCCCAGCCTTTGCCCATATTACTCCCCTGCTTAGGTGCCCTCCTTCCATTTCACCCCCACATCCGCTTTCCTCAAGTCCATCTTCAAAGCCCAACTCTGAGGATACCTCCTCCAGGTAGACTGATGCCAGGCTGGCACAATCCTGTGGATATTCTGTTACTTCCACAACCCCCTCCTTTCAGCCCTCCACCTCCATTCACATTGTCCAAGTGCCGGGCCTTTGCATGTGCTGTTCCCTCTGCCTGGAATGCTCTTCCCTATTTGCCCAGGCTCCTGGCTTCCCTTCTGCTTCCAGCTCAAGAAGCCCCCTAACATGCCAATAAGAACCCCCACAAGACCATTAAACCTCAAGCTCTGAGGGCAGAGCCAAGTGGGCTGTGCCTACTGTGCTCCAGGAGCAGGGTTTAGATGGCAGTTCCTCAGGAGCTACTGATGACTGTCACACACAGTTCTTTACTCACTAGGAAAGCTAGGTTTTCACTTTACAGAGCGAACGTTGGGGGAAATGGTCAGTGTGAGTAGAAAGAAAAGAACTCAGCCCAAACACAAAGACTGCCTTTCCTTCTTCAATGAGCAAAGATGGCAGAGGCAATCTGCTCATTTGGGGGGCTGAGTGCTTATGTGGTTTCTGGACCTGGGGTTTTATTTGGGTTGGCTGCTGGCTTCCTCGTTTTTCTGCATCTTCCTATATAAATCCACCCAGAGGATAAATTCCCAGCTAGGGGAGGAAAGAATCAAGAGGCGTGTACTCTTGTGCATGCTGTTGTCACATGCCAGGCCCCCAAAAATGCTGCCCTGTGCGTTGCGCCATCTGGGTTGCAGACACCCATTTCTGCTCAGCTGGACCACATGATTCTGACCAAACCTTTCACTGTGTGACCATCTGCTAGGTGAGAAATAGGATCTCATTTTGTAATAACTGGAGTAAAATTGAGTATGTTGATGAGATTTTGGGCCTTGAATGTTTACTTTTTCCATATTTTCATGACTTTAAGAGAAGATATAATGCTCCCAAACTTAAAACTTCAAAAAGTCACCACCTCCTCAACCACTCCACAGCTCTGATTCTATGTATTAAGCTGGACCTCTCACCTTTGCTCTTGGCTTCCCGGCCACTTCCCTGTCCTCTGAGCCCCAGGACCATTAGAACTGAAAGGCTGTCCAAGCCTGAATGAGGCTCAGAAGCCTGGCTGAATGAGGGTAGGGAAGCATGGATGAGGTGAGGGGGCACTTACCCAGCTCGTTCATAGCACGGCGGTATTCCTCGTCAAAAGATAGCTTCATCACTGCACAGGTAGCCTGGCAGATCTGTGGCTCAATGGGGACCGGGGCTGTGGGCCAGCGGACCAGGTCAGAGCCCTCCCCAAAACAGCTTCCTCACCCCTACCACCAGTCTGGGAAATGTTCCATGGTGGGTCCCACCCCTCCCTGCCTTCTCTACCCCAAATGCCAGCATAGACCCCAGGGCTCTGCAAACTGCTTCATGCTTGACACCTGAGGGGTCACTCCCTGAAATGAATAATAAGGTGTCTGCCTCACCCAGTGCTGGAATGGGAGATGAGGTCATGCTGGGCGCTCAGGACCTCTTGCAGTGCTTTTGTCATAGATTAACTTTGTGATCAGCTGCCAAAACTAGGAATCTCAAAGTCTGCACCCATGTTACTAGTTACCCACAATCCATCCACACATTCAGTGACTGTTACCTTAGCTACTCTGCAACCAGAACAGCAGTTGCTTGTGGCCGTACCTTTGCCATTCTGTTATGACAAGGTCGCCATAAGACCTCAGCCAGCATGTGGCACAGAGAAGTTTCGCAGAAAAGGCCACTGTTATTGCTAACAATGTTGCCTGTCACCCAGGAAGCCCAAGCTCTGCATCCATTGCCTCACTCACCGCCACCGGTACCACCTCCCTCTGGCTCGCCATCCTGGGCCTGTAGCCAATCCCAGGAGGTCTCGCAGTAGGCGCGGATCTGCTCCAGCACATGCAGGACGCGCATCTCCTTGCGCGCCAGGCCCTGGTCTGGCTGGGAGAAGATGATGTTGTGCAGTGCCGCATTGGCGCGCATGCGCGCGTCCTTGGCTCCTGGCGCTCTGGGGGTCCCATTGAGGCTCCCAGCCCCAGCCTCTGTGCCATGCAAGATCTGCAGCAGCAGCGGCAGGCAGCCTGAACGGCGCATGGCCACGCAGCTCTCAGGAGAACTGGACATGGCGAGAAGTGTGCGGGCCGTGTCCTCCTGGTCGCGCGTTGCCAGCATGGACAGCAGCCAGAAGACTACCTCCACCTGTGGGGGAGCGGTGGCGATGGAGTCAGGGTGGGGAGGCCCACCTGGCTCACCTGGCCCCAGCCAGCCCACCCACCCTCCCCAGCCAGGGGCGGCTTCCACACTCTGGGTCACTTGCCCTAAACATGGTGGGAGTCCTGTGACCCCAGCCCAGGAGAATGGCTTTTTCACCCCTACCATCCTCACCCTGTATCCACACACTCCTGGGGAGATGGATAGGGGGCCTCAGTCACTGTGGAGATGTTACCAGCCCATGAGGGCCAAATGCCCACTCCACTGGCCTCACCAGGCACTCCTAGGAGTGGCCCTACATCTACGTCTAGAGTATCCCCCCAAACACTCAAGAAAGGTATCCCCACCCACGTGGCCAGGCCCCAGACCACATGTTGGCCTCACCAGCCTCACTGTACCCCAATCCAACTGGCTGTCACCTCCCCAGCCTGCCTTTGGGGTGGGGCTCACCTTGCTGTTGCCCGGCTGAGGGGCACCATCCTCAGGGCGTGTGGGGACCTCAGTCTCAGGGTCCTCATCCACAGGCACCGACTTCACTGCCAGCAGGGCCTGTGGAGGAAACACTAGCCCTGGGGGTTCCGGGAACACCCCACAAAGCATCCAGGCTGCAGATTCCAGCAGAAATTCCCATGACGATGTGTTGGGGGCTCTACCTATTCCTGTACTCTGGGATGGGCCCTCAAGGTTCTCCTCGCTGCCTGGGGCCATCGCCACCCCCTAAGGCCCTGACTCCGCCCTTCTCAGTACCTGGGGCTCTGTCTGCTGCACCCGGTCCTGCGCTGACAGCAGTTCCTTGTCTATCTGCTCCAGGCGTGAAGCGCGGATCTGAGTGGGAGAAAGATGCATAGCACACTACAGCTGACCCTCCCCCACTTTGACCCCGCCCATTCCCTGTTATAGCACTACCAACTGTCCAAACTCCCTACCCCGC